GAACTCCCTGTCAAACCATGGCTGAGAGAGGGTCTTGGAAAGAGCCAGAAGTTAACAACCTCTCTCCAAGGGAGGGTTTATCCAGTCTTAGAGACCTTTCCCTCTCCAAGTGACAGACAAGCCATCAGGCCTGATATCACTGAACATCAGAATCATCTAACTAATGCCTCCTTTTCTGACTGACCAACCAGACAGGAGGTGAGAGTAGCTTCCCAAATTATCAGCCCAGAGGGCAGATAGGCCTAGACAACAGACACACACCTTCTGGTCTACCCAACAGCTGTGTCTCATTACCTCAAATAAAGTACTCCTCTGTTTGTACATCACAGGGCATGTCTCAGAGGCTGGGCTGGTCTTTTCAATATAACCCAGCTGGTACCTGAAGCTGAGGTGATAGTCCTGCTCCACACACTCCTCAGGGAGCTGCCAGTAGGTCTCTACAGACAAGAAGCCAACTTGCTACACACCTTGTTTCAAACTTCCATAGTAAGCCCAAGATGCAAACACAAGTCTGGAGAGTGATGTGCTATCTGGCCTATGCTCACTCCTGGTGTCCAAGTTCATTGACAACCATGTGCAGTGAGAGAGACATGGAAGTTTAATTGCCACGCTTGTTCCTTGTGGACACACTGGTGCTCATGTCGCATGTCTTGCTGAAGGAAGATCGCAGAGACAGCTTGGTCCAGGATGAGAGAGATCAAAAATACAAATGGAGGTGGCATGTGCTTTCAGAAAATGCCCTGAGCTTACCAAAGAAAAACAGCACTTGAGTAGCAAACAAGAGCCTCATTTCTGAAACATATGGGGAGGGGGACTCCTTCCTTATTTTTTTTTTAATTGCTAGAGGACACATGCACTCACTAGACAGTGTCAGAGGGAGGGAAAAAGCTCCTTCCCCCAGTAGGGTGTAGTCAGCCACAATTCCCTCTCCATTCTCTAACCAGTCAGAATTTTGAGCATGCACATACATGCACCTAGTGTGTTCCCCCAATAGGGTGTAGTCAGCCACAATTCCCTCTCTATTCTCTACCCAGTCAGAATTTTGAGCATGCACGTACATGCACCTAGTGTGTTTTTCAAGCTACCAGGGCTGACATTCAAACTTCAGTCTGCCATGTAGGATCTGGCTCCCTTAACCACTGCATTACAAAGTTCTACCTCCCCACAAAGAAAAACTTGTTTCAATTAGAGAATGAAGCCACCTAAAACTCTACTCCGTATTTTGCTGGTTAAGTCATGATTTACTTGAAGGGACTAAATGGCGTTTTTTACAAAGGAAGAGGGCAGAAATCTGAAATTTCACATCTGCAAAATAAAGATGATCAACCATCTATTCTAAATGTTTTTTATAAGTTGATTTATTTTTCTGAAAAATTCTGGGGGCATTTTTCGACAAGTAGAACGTAATAATGAAATAATGAAGGTAAGAATCCCAGAAGAGCCCTCGGGAATCTATTCAACTCTGAAGGTATTTGGAGCTTAAATTTCATTCTTTTCCCTACTGATAAGTTCATGGTTTCATAATTTCTTGTAAAAAGGTAAGAAGAATCTTTATATCCTCAAACGAGAAGGCAGCTATTGTGGATAATGCATTCCACATTCCCGCCTAGATTTCAGGAAGCTAGAAGACACCTCTATGTCCATCTCCACTCCACCCCAATTGCCCCCCAACACGCACACACTCCAGACACTCCAGGAGCCAAGGAAATAATAGATCACAAAAAAAAGCTCTTTCCTTGTCCAACTTCTCCCTGCCCCCAACTCCTCCAACGCCCAGGCACCTGGAGCCACCACAGCAGGGCCAGTATGTATGCCATGCTTTTCAACACACTGAGGCAGCAACTGACTAGGGATAAAGGGGGAGTCCCAATTTCTTTGATCAACAGATGGCTTCACTGGAAATTACTGGGTTGTCAAAGAAGTCATGACACATTTTTGCATTTAAAAAAAAACATAGAAAAATGTGTCATGTCTTTTCCAACAACCCAATAGACAAGAACTTTGAAAGGAGGCCAGTGTGCAATTTTTGAGAGAACTGCTTTTAAATAATACTGCTTCATGGCACATAGCTGGTGCTCACCAATATTTGTGAAATGAGAGAAGGCGCGAATCGTGGACTTACACAAACAGCAGGGCATTTGGCACATGCCCATACTTGAGGATTTTCATAAAAAACTTTCTGCTGAAAGAGGACGCACAGATGAGATGGCATGGTCTTAAACTGCACAAATAAAGGGAAAGTGGTGGGGACGGCTGCTATGGGGAGCAGCAGAGTAAGCTTGGTCACCTCCACTCCAACCCACATCCCGAAAGGCTCGCATCTGGCTCAGCACTCTGAGTTCAGAGCACTCAGGCTAGGTCTGGAGAGAGAGAACCTGAGCTGCCATAGGGAGCCATTCTGTAGACTACAGGTTTTGTGTGCACACTGGGGAGGAGTCACTCCAAAATCCAAAATCCTCCAAGTCAGAAATGCATTTTTTAATGTTGAGGTTTTTAAAGCAAAAGCAAGTTCAGTTGGGACTAGCAGATGGAATAATGGTTATGTCGCTGGACTCCCATGTAGTTGACACAGTTCAAGTCCCAGACCTGACAGCTTCAAACTCACACCAGACAAATATGCGTATGTGCCCAAAATTCTGAGAAGAGTATGGAAACAAGGGATTGTGGCATGGACACATCCCCATGGGGGATGATTTCTCACTTTCTGTCTCCCTGTCTCTCTCTCTCTCCAGTGAGTACACACATCCTATAGCAAAAATCTCTCTCTAAAAAAAAAAAAAAGGAAAAAAGAGAAAAGAAAAGAAAGGAAGCAAGCTCATGGTGCTTTTTCCCCCCCAGGTTTAACTTTCCCATTGTACCAATCAACATTCTGTGTAGGTACAGTGCAGACCATACAAACGGTTTTGAGTGTCATGGCCCATGAGTTACCTTCATTAGAGTCACATATCTAGATATGCAAATCTAGAGCCCTTTGCTAGAGCCACTGAAACAACTCCCAGAGGCAGAGTCCTAGGAGGAGACATAGTTAATAGGTTCCCCAGGTAATTCCTCTGCACACAAAAGCTTAGCAACTTTACAATGCAAAGAACCGGGAGTTCATTTCTACCCTAGATATATACACCAGCCTTTTAAGCTCTCCTGAACATCCAATAGCAAAGTTTTTTAAATAGAGTTTGAACCAAGGTTACAAAGTCAAATTAAGGTATATTTCAACTTGCTTGAAAAGGAAAACATGCTAAACACACACTATTCATTCAAAATATGCAATGGATTCAATGAATAATGACAAAGCCAGCTGCTGGGAATTAGAGATGAGAAGTGCAAAGTCAGAGACCAGCACAGACATAGCTCTGAATTCAGGACGATATAAGCAATATTGTATGTAAAGAACAACAAGCTCGCAGAGGGAGAGGTGATTAATTCTGACAGTGATGATATGAATGAAGACTAGATATGAATGAAGCAATGAGTGTTATCAAAGTAGTATCACCAGCATGCTCATTCTTATCAAACAGAGACATAAAGGAAGACACAGCTTCAGAGAAAATTCAGATCTTTATGACATCACTTTGCAGCTATATCCCGATCCCAGTCCTGTCTCCAACACACGGAATAATAACAGCTATTTATTACATGCCGGGTGCCAGTCTAGAAGCTCTGCACCCACCGCTTTGGTAAAGTCTCACAATGGCCTTGTGATGCTGGTGTGATGCTTCTTCTCACAAATGGGAAAATAATGCCAAAAGATCAAGTGGTGGTGGGTGAGCCTGAATTCAGGTGCCAGTCTGGCTGACTCCCAATCCCTGGGAGCATGGAGCATCTAGCCTCTGTTAAGATGTCCACATTCTAAGAGCTCATCTTTCCTCCAGTAAGTTTTGTTTTGTCAATTGGCTCAGGGCTGTAGGACGCATGAGCCAAAGGTTAAAATCCTTTCTTTGGGCAGGCCTGAGAAGCACTTCAGGAGATCAATGACAGGTAAATTGTAGCCTAAGTGTAGAGAGAGGAAGCACGTAGCACCACCTTGGTCAGTGAAATCTCCACCAAGTGATCATTTTTCTCTCAAGCTGTTTTTCTGTTGACCTATATTTCTGATTAAAATATAAACAATAATAACTAGAATTTATTCAGTACCTATTCTAAGGCAGACATTATGTTAAGAACCCACACAAATGGCCTCATCGTCAGGTCAGTGCTATCAACTAGTTCCATTTGGGGGTGTTGGGGGGGGGTTGGGTTGTTTTTAATTTTGTTTTTTTCTGAGATTTGGGGGTGTGGGGGGGGGTTTGGGTTGTTTTTATTTTTGTTTTTTTCTGAGAGAGAGATTTTTGCTATAGGGCATGTGTGCTCATAGAAGAGATGGAAAGACAGAGAGACAGAAAGCAAGAAATCATCCCCCAGTCGGATGGCCACGCCACAATACCTTCTCCTCCACTCTCAGACTTTTGGGCACACGTGCACACACGCCCAGAGTGAGTTTAAGCTGCAGAATCTGGAACTCAAACCACAGTCAACTATGCGGGAGTCCAGCGATGTAACCATTATGCCATCTGCTGGTCCCTCAACCAGTTTCATTTTACAGATGACAAAACTGAGGTACAGAGAGATTAAGACACAACCAGAACTAGGGTCAGTCTAAGTCCAGAGCTCTGATTCTCTACCATTCTGGCATTCTGTCACTTGCACTCCTGGCCCGATGCAACTTAGTCCTGTCAAAGTTCACTACCAAGCAAGTCTCAAGATTCTAGACAGGTAGATCTCTAAACGTATAGACTGATATGATTGCTGCTAATGGTCTAGCAAGTGAGTCTTATAATCTGTTTATGCATTTAGCAAGAATACATAGCAGGTTTTCTAATTAATTTCCTAGAGTCCTCACCTGCACCATTTTTCTAATTACTTTGCATATGTACTCATCACTTGTGAAGTATCTACTATGTGCCAGGCACAGGAGTTAATAAAAAGGCTCTGCCCTTCCCACCCAAACTCAGTCTCCCCCTCACCTTCAGCTGTTTGACCTTCTCTTTTCAGCATCTGGACAGCGCCTACATACTTCTTCAGCTGGACTTTGAGCACCTCGTTCTCTCTGCAGGTACAAAAATGTTAAAATATATATATATTTTTAATTGACAATTTAGACCCAATGTAGAGGGGAGGAGTAGGTGGCGGGGGGATCTGTGTAAAAAAAAAAAAAAAAAAAAAAAACATAAACACCACTTGCATCTTATACATGTTAATATATATTTCCTTATGTATTTCCTTATGTTTCCATGATCACCACAGGAAAAGCTATGTTACCAGGGCATGTTTGTGGAATGCCTTCAAGACCGGTTTTTCATGAAGAAAAGCATGAGCTGTTTGTAGGGCCCACATATTCAGAATGTTGACACATGCTGTGCTCAGGTTGTTGATTAATCAACTCATTAGCTACCTAGTCAGTGCTAGGTAGTCTGTAATATTCTCTCCATGTACAGAGGCATGTGCTAAGTACCGTGATTCCCCCCTGGGGAATACTCTTAACATTTGTATTAACTACTACATGAACTAAACACTTACTCTTTGCCGGGCATCATGTCAAGTGTCTATCTAACAACACACTGAATCATTCCATGGCACTACTACAACTCCCATTTTATGGATGAGGAAACTGAGGCATAAAGAAGAAAAGCAGTTAACTAAGTCCATATCCACCCACATGTAGGATTACACCATGGAATACAGTACCCAGGACACAACATGGCTCCACCTACTGAACTCACTCCCCAGGTATACCAGCTGAAGATGGGACATGAGGATCGGGGAGAAAACTGCCATTTGTGGGGGACTTGCCACATAGCTTAGTCTTCACACACGTGACCTCACCAAATCAGGCATGCAAGTATTCATTCGATCATCTGCTCTTCATTTTGTGGGGAAATGCTTGATTCCATGGGAAAATGCACAATGACCCTATAGAATTCTCCCTACTTTAGAGTAGAGGAGTTGGACGCATAATGTCTCTGACCAAGGTCACATGGCCAAGTTAACCAGGAAGACACACTGCCAAGCTACAAATCCAGTTCTCTGGGGCCTAAAGGTCCAGAAGAGCTTTTCTCTGTTTCCTTTTGATTCAGACTTGGTTTCTTGCAAGCCACACCAGTGAGGGATACCTCTTCCACCTTTTCTGCTTCTGCCCATAACCTGACTCTTGAGTCTGAATGCCTTTATGGATGCTAGAATATATTTCTTTTCCTGGAATCCAAAAAGCTAAAATGGAGTTTCTTCTATGAGTATAAAAATAAAAATGTTCATTGCAAAATACTCAATCAGAACACATTTCACAGAGAACGTAAAAAATTAGCTGAAAACCCAACACCATGAAATAAACCCCACTAACCTATTTATATCCATCCTATCATTTTCCTCTCTAAGTACACAAAAAAATCCCCTACATATAATTTTTCATGGACAAAACATCATTCACCTCCTTTAAATTTTTGTTGTTTTAGGTTTTTGCTATAGGGCAGATGCACTCAGCAGACACAGACAGAGAGAAAGTAAGAAATCACCTCCCAGGGGGGTGGCCGTGTCACAAACCCTTTTTTTCCATTCTCCTCTTGGAATTTTGGGCACACACACACATACACTCACTGTGATTTTCAAGCTGCCAAGTCTAGGACTCAAACCACAACTGGCCATGTCAGAATCCATCACCTTATCTGCCACACCACCTGCTGGCTCCTCTATTTGGCTTTTGAAGTCTTTTTTCTCTTGTTTACTACTCTACTTCCTTTTTGGTTTTTGGGGGGTTTTTTTGAGAGGATTTTTTTATTGTTATAGGGCACATGCACTCGCCAGACAGACAGAGAGAGACAGAGAGACAGAAAGCGAGAAATCACCCCTCAGGGGGGATGGCCATGCCACAATCCCTTCTCCTCCATTCTCCTCTCAGGATCTTGGGCATTCACACACATGCGGGGACCGAGACTCAAACCGCGGTCAACTATGTGGGAGTCCGGTGACATAGCCATTACGCTAACTGCTGGTTCCTGCTCTACTTCCATTTATGCCTTCCACCAGGCCCAGATCATCACTATCCAATATATTCATATACAGTTCACTTTATAAAATGGGACCATGCTGGGACCCGCCGGTGGCATGATGGTTAGGGCAACTGGATCACACATGCCCCACTGCATGGTTTGAGTCCCAGACCCAGTGGCTTAGAAAACACACTAAGCACCTGTGCCTGCATGTTCAAAATCCTGAAAAGAAAAAAAATGAAAGGAGAAGGGACTGCAATGTGACCATACCCCATGAAGGGTGCTTTCTCATTTTCCCTCACTCTCTCTCTGGCAAGCACATGTACCCTCTGGCAATTTTTAATTAAAAAAAAATCATAATAAAGTGGGATTATACATCTGTTTCTCTGCATCTGGGTTGTCTCATTTAACAACAGTGAACCTCTAAGTCAATCTGATATAGGTAGAAACACCATCCTTTGGTATGGACGTGCTACACATTTACTTAGTTGAAAATGTGTGACTACCAATTATAGTTCTGGGTGTCTGTTTTCAATGACTATGACTGCATCCCAGCCCACAAACACAGCAGTTTCTTTGTATTTTGCTTCTCTGCACTGTATTTTGGCAGAAAGAACATCAGAACCGAGTGCAGAAACTAATACATCCTTAGGTAACACCTGAGACTTCTACATTCATCTCAGAAGCTTTAGAGAAAGTAAACCACAAAGGAGTCCTTAATTATCCCCCTTATCCTAGACAGCCTGTCATGGATGTTTCTATAGGAGACTGCACTTTCCCACCTGGGCTATGAATAGCAAATGTTTGAAACTAAACAACTACTGGGTCCTGAAAAGGTTGGTGGGAGGAAAAATATTTCCCAATGTACAAATACTGTACAGCTTATTTTCTTGGATTCCTTTAGCCAGAGTCTCGTCACCCAACCCAGTCTTCTCCCAATCTCCACGTGTGAATCTGAGTCACATATCGTCTTATAACTAGAGGGGACAGCAATTTATATGCATTTCTTTGTGGTATCACATTAGTAATAGTTCATGGAAAAACGTATTCCAAGAAGCCCACTAGGCAGGCTCCACTGAGGCCGCTGACAGCTGGGTCATGTCGGTGTCTGGCTACCAGGTCTCAACTCATGTGCTCCCCACAGACATGCCCGCTCCTGGCTTCCTGTCCCCCTTTGGCACTGTGATCAGCACTGCAGGGCCCTTCTTCCAGAGCACTGTGTGTAAAGGAGCTACCAGGTGGCAGGGTAGTTAAGAAGCTGGACGGTCCTAGGGCTGGACTTGGTGGCTTGCTCTTCCACTCCCCCACCCTTCTTTCTGTCTGGTGAACACACATGCCCTATAGCAAATTAAAGGATAATAATGATTATGAATAAAATTGAGTGAATAATTCTTTTTTTAAAAAAGTGTTAAGACTCAAACTGAAAAGCACATAGTGAGATACCACTACAAATCTACTAAAATGGCTTTAAGAAACATTTTTTAAGACAGAATCTTGCTGTCACTCTTTTGTTTCATCACCAAGCTGAGACAACAGGGACATGCCAACACATCCAGCCTTTAGGTGGGACCAAGAATCAAACAGGAATCTACCCTGAAGAAAGTCGGCATACAATAAATGACTGGGCCATATGACAGACCCATGTTTAACTCTACAAGAAGTTTCTGTACTGTTTGCCAGAGTGGTTGAACTAGTTTGCACTCCCCCAGCAAACTACGAGAATTTTAGTTGTTCCCCCCATTATCCCTAGTAATGACTTAATACTGTCACTAAAATTATTTTTTAGTCCCACTGCAGCAGTGCATGCTAATAAGTTGTACTCTTCAGGCTGGGACCACATAGGAGGCCAGGGTTTAATTCCTGGTCCAATCTAAAGGAGCACGCTTGTAATCCTGGTGGCCCAGGAGGCTAAGGCAGGAAGACGATGAGCTGGAGACTGGCCTAGGCAACTAGCAAGAACCTGTCTCTTAGAAGACAGGTGTGGTAGCACTTGCCTGTAGTCCCCACTGGGAGGCTGAGGCAGAGAAGAGCCACAGGAAACCCTGTCTTTAAAAAACAAAATAGAAACACAAGGGTTCGGCTGGTGGCACAGCAGAACTCAGTGTCTGCTATGCTGGACCTACCTGGGAAGGTCTGAGGCTCACCTCTTGAGACCTTCCTGTACATGCTAAGTGCATGTGTGCCCTGATCTGGGCTGGTTGAGGCTGGGGTAGATCACGTGTGAAAACCTGGTGGGGATGTCTGTCCCTGTATAAATGTCTCTTTCTCATCAAAGAAATACACTTATTTAAAAAAAAAAAAAAAACACCTCTACACCCATTAAACAGTAACATTCCCTCCTCCTCCCACCCCTAACAAACACCCTTTCACGTCATAGGACTGATAACCCTTTGCGTTAAGAAGGATGATGGGTTCTTTTTGTTTTTTTTTCCGGAGAGAGTTTCACTATAAGGGCGTGTGCGCTCACCAGACAGACAGAGAGAGACATAGAGACAGAAAGCAAGAAATCACCCCCCATGGGGGATGGTCACGCCACAATCCCTTCTCCTCCATTCTCCTCTCGGGATCTTGAGCACGCACGCACACGAGCCCAGCGTAAGTTTTAAGCCACGGGGTCCAGGACGCGAACCGCGGTCGACTACGTGGGAGTCCAGTGACATAGTCATTACGCTAACTGCTGGTTCCCAAGAAGAATGATGTTTTGAACATTTGCTTTGAACACGGCTTTTGGGAAAGGAGAGGCTCATCACTAATTTAAAACTTGGCTTGAAATGTGGTTTCAAAGATCCAGTGAGCCATAAACAAGAATCATTTTAGGACATTTCAAGAAAACAATCCCAGTCAAGCCCAGTCTGTTCAGTCTTCTATCACACAGAAATCTCCATGACACGGCTTCTGCGTGCAGGCTTAATGCATGAGAACTGATAGATTCGATGGAAACCTTAAGGTTTCCTTCTTGAGATCCAGACTTAACTGCAGATTCAAAGATCAGCTCACATTAAATTCCAGGTTCAACTGTTTTACTACCTTTTCATTCTTTGAAAATTGACTGCTTATATCCAGA